ACCGACGTAGTTTAGAGTTCAGAGATATCTGGTGTTGCTGCGTGTTTGTTCCATGATTTGACTTAAGAATGTGGCTGTTGCAGCCTAAAGAATGGCGTGCGTCTTTCAAATCTTGTTGCGTCTGAGACGTCATATGATATGTATCTGTGTGTCACTGTTAGCATCTCTTGCTCTTCTATCTGTGATGATAATTTTGTTGTAATTTGCGTACACTTTGCACCAAGAGTGGCACGTTATCCTAATGATGTTTATTCCAACAGGTAGGTACGTTCCGTTCGGCGTTACAATAGAAACTGTGTTCGTTCCTGTTCGCATGTAATGGAAAATCAAGAGAGGGAAGTACGCAGTTGCGTGTGTGCTATAAAACTAGTTGCAATGCCACGCCGCCATTGCACGGAAATGCTTTGGTTTCTGTACAGCCACGTAACGGACATCATTTTTGAGATGATCTGGCTTGGGCGTAAAATACTGTGAGGTGGAGAATGTTTTTGGTTGGTCGGGGAAATCCTCAGAGGTAGAATAACGCTTATGTAAAACCGCAGGCATTTTTCTGATCCGGTGGGAGGGGTAGTGTGGTGCAGTGTTTTACACACATTCGAAGTTGTATTACTTTTGATTGTAGTGTGACAGGTAAGGTCAATCCACGAACTTCCAATGCTCGGGTCGCGTTCGCTAGTTTGAAGCACCTATGACGTCAACGCGGGATATCCATGAATATCAAGTAACATGTGCATCAGGCTGCAGTACGCGTTGTACCGTTGTCTGGCTGAGAGCTGGTTCGTTTGAGAAGCGGAACTAAGGAGTTGTCAGGCGTTTGAAAACGGTTGTCTCGAAGCCATAGCTCGTGCGGTTCAGTGTTGGCAAATCCGTGAGTTGACAATTACACGGCGATTTTTCGGGTGTGCACCGGGATTTTCCACTCAGGAACGTGTCCTTGCATTCTCCAGCTAAATGATCATAGTCACCATTATCTGGGACAGTTGGGTCGCATCAGTTTTGGCTATCTTACTGGCTCATTTATTCAGATATATTCGACACGATTTCAGAATTGAAGATGGTTCGCAATACTTTGACATAAACGATGGGTTGGATGAAGCCCAGAAGGGTGGTGCTTGTTGGCTATGTTGCCAATGTACTTGAGTATGTGGTTGTTACGAGTTTCAGTGAGGAAGACCAATTTGTCGATTTTATAAAGCTACATTGTATCAGCACTGGCGAGCAGAAATCAAGTGAAGCTGAGAATTATTGCTCTAAACGAGCGGATTTGACACCCAGCACCCGCTCACTCACTAGACTTTCGCTACGGCTGCATCCATGGTGCGCGTTTGCGGGCGCGTGTGGCCCGTGGACCTTACGGCTCAAGTCTCCACCATTTGGCCTTATGACCGACAAGTAAACACTCCCGTTTAGCTTTAGCTTCCCCGCTCCCAATATGCATATGGGCGCCGAATCCCGCTATCGAATCATCGATGTACACAAGACTCCCTCGTTATCGCTGATTTTACTGATTTAGCAAGTAGTGACTTCACCTTTATAACGGTGAGTCTCCAAGTTCAGCGTGGACACCAACCGGTTATTTTGGGCAAAAGGTTTTGTTAAGCACTTGGTGAGCCAGCCACTACAGGTTTGCTTAAGTACGTGTTTTAAATGATATCACGAAAGATGTGTACTCTTCTTTACAACAAGGTTTTCAAATCAATAATTTATGTACGGCAGTGAGGCATCGGTGTTGAACACTGGTATCATGCTTTCGATCATGATGATGTACAGATCGTAATTGATTATGCATTTTTTAAGAAACCCTGTCGAGTAAAAATCTGTGAAGTGAAATAACCTCACATTACGTTCGTACCGATGCAACTAATAAAGAGAAACATGATTTGTTGAAGGCGGTTGTGTATTTTCCAGGAATGGAGTGTTGGTAGGGACATTATAGTCAGACACTGCTTATGTATGGGCCTGGCGGTTACAAGAAGTAGCCTCGGCAGGTGATATCGACTATATTTATGAGAAAGACGGGCCGTCGCTGACGATTAAACTGGGCTACTGGGCATAGTTGAAACCTCATACTCAGCATTTACATAGACTCGGGCCTTGCAATTACGATCGGTAGACAAAGTAGGCGATATCGACTACAGTTGTGAGTATGACAGCCTGTCGCTGGCCGTTGAAATAAGATATCATACATAGTTTTTGTCGGCCCCAATAGATACTGGCTTGGTGATTACTATAGGTAGCAGGCGGGTGCGGCAGTGTGAGTTGACAATTACACGGCGATTTTTCGGGTGTGCACCGGGATTTTCCACTCAGGAACGTGTCCTTGCATTCTACAGCTAAATCATCATAGTCACCATTATCTGGGACAGTTGGGTCGCATCAGTTTTGGCTATCTTACTGGCTCATTTATTCAGATATATTCGACACGATTTCAGAATTGAAGATGGTTCGCAATACTTTGACATAAACGATGGGTTGGATGAAGCCCAGAAGGGTGGTGCTTGTTGGCTATGTTGCCAATGTACTTGAGTATGTGGTTGTTACGAGTTTCAGTGAGGAAGACCAATTTGTCGATTTTATAAAGCTACATTGTATCAGCACTGGCGAGCAGAAATCAAGTGAAGCTGAGAATTATTGCTCTAAACGAGCGGATTTGACACCCAGCACCCGCTCACTCACTAGACTTTCGCTACGGCTGCATCCATGGTGCGCGTTTGCGGGCGCGTGTGGCCCGTGGACCTTACGGCTCAAGTCTCCACCATTTGGCCTTATGACCGACAAGTAAACACTCCCGTTTAGCTTTAGCTTCCCCGCTCCCAATATGCATATGGGCGCCGAATCCCGCTATCGAATCATCGATGTACACAAGACTCCCTCGTTATCGCTGATTTTACTGATTTAGCAAGTAGTGACTTCACCTTTATAACGGTGAGTCTCCAAGTTCAGCGTGGACACCAACCGGTTATTTTGGGCAAAAGGTTTTGTTAAGCACTTGGTGAGCCAGCCACTACAGGTTTGCTTAAGTACGTGTTTTAAATGATATCACGAAAGATGTGTACTCTTCTTTACAACAAGGTTTTCAAATCAATAATTTATGTACGGCAGTGAGGCATCGGTGTTGAACACTGGTATCATGCTTTCGATCATGATGATGTACAGATCGTAATTGATTATGCATTTTTTAAGAAACCCTGTCGAGTAAAAATCTGTGAAGTGAAATAACCTCACATTACGTTCGTACCGATGCAACTAATAAAGAGAAACATGATTTGTTGAAGGCGGTTGTGTATTTTCCAGGAATGGAGTGTTGGTAGGGACATTATAGTCAGACACTGCTTATGTATGGGCCTGGCGGTTACAAGAAGTAGCCTCGGCAGGTGATATCGACTATATTTATGAGAAAGACGGGCCGTCGCTGACGATTAAACTGGGCTACTGGGCATAGTTGAAACCTCATACTCAGCATTTACATAGACTCGGGCCTTGCAATTACGATCGGTAGACAAAGTAGGCGATATCGACTACAGTTGTGAGTATGACAGCCTGTCGCTGGCCGTTGAAATAAGATATCATACATAGTTTTTGTCGGCCCCAATAGATACTGGCTTGGTGATTACTATAGGTAGCAGGCGGGTGCGGCAGTACTGATGTCATGCTGTCGCTGATGATTATATAGGTAGCAGACATAAGCGAGAAGGCGCACAGTTATGTGTATGACGGGCTATCTTGGGCAGTTAAATCAGGATACCGCACACAGCTGAAACCTTATGATCAGCGTCGCACATAGGCACTGGCCTAGCAGCTTCAAAACGTCGTCAAGAATGGCAATATCGCGTACAGTTCTGGGTATGAGGTCCGTCGTTCGTCTTTAGCTTAGGTATGTGTGCATAGTTTTGGCATCATATTCATCGGTTCGTATAAATAATGGCCCGTTTTTCATCATTGGTAGCATATATAAGCGACAACGCATACAGTTACAAGTAAGACAGATTAAGTTGGATTAAGTTACCGGATACACAACGCCGCATATTGATACGGGACTAGCAGTCACGAAAAATAGCCAGGTTAGGCGACATCGAGTACAGCGATGGCTATGACGAGCTATCGCGTATGGTTATGGGCATGAAAGCCCGTCTTTGGTCATTGGATTATGTTACTGTGAATAGGTGAGGTCTCATATTCAGCGACGCGGTGTTAGCATTTACAATAAGTATTCGAGATGAGTAGCAACGGTTACCGTTATCATAGCGACAGCTTTATGGCTGTCACCACCTATAGAACGTCAGATTTATAATAGGAACAATACCTTCAGCTATCTCGTGGTTCCGTCTAATCTACATGCTAGTTATGCATAACTGGAAAAGGGGATCATCAACAAGCATAGTTCATGTTGTTGTCTAAAAATGTTGCACTTAATGGAAGTTGAAATACAAGGGAAAATGTGTTCTGACCAGGTTTACCGAACAAAATATATTTTGCTAATATAATCGCATTTGTTACATCTCTGGGTTGTAAAGCAAAGAAACGTCGACAACCGGTATTCTGGTGTGAAATTTCCATTAGATATTGTTTAAATGTTTTTTATTCCTAAAGGACACCGCAGAACGCCGAAAATATGCCAGAATGCGATTTCGCGTTTTATGTCGCGTAAACCGGTAAGAAAATGCGGACCGGTGAAGGTCCGTCACCTTGAAACTAGCTCACTTAAGCAAAATGCTACTTGCAACATAGCACAGGAAGGTGCAAACGGATTAGACCAACTCCCCGTTATAGTCACAACTTCAAAAGCCCCATAGTTTCGGCGAAAATAATTTGGGTATGCAAATAGCCAGCGGCGTCGAAAACCGTCCAGGGGGAGGTGCTTAAAAGCAAGCCGGCATAAATTGCCGAACTTCACTTCGATTGCACGACTATCGCCGGCCGGTTAGAGATTGTCAAGGTCAAGCGTCAGTTGACCAGGACACAAGCCAATCAGCAATGAGCATTTTGTGGGGTTGTTCTCGCGTTCCCAGCGTGACATTCTGCAAAATTCTGCAATAATCCTGTAAAAGCACTTCCAACGGAACTTCATCACCTCACTCAAGAGATGGCTCCAGCTACGGCACTTTCTGGTATACAGTAGTGTGTACGAGATAAAGCTGAGCGCTAGAATGTGAGTTTAATTGGCAGTTGAGATTCCAATTGGTACTCCTAATTTGTTTTCAGTACACAAAATTTGGGGTCAGCCTGTTTGATCGGGGGAGTACTCTAGCATCTGCCTTATCACACTGTCTGTCCGCCAGTGCGTCCTATAGACCTGAAGGACGTTAAATGACAAAAGCTCACCACAACACTCTAGAATCCGATGCTCATCATCATCATCATCATCATCATCATCATCATCATCAACAA